ACAGATTTTTTAGATATATGCAATTTTTCATGAAATTGGATAAAATATGCAAAAAATGCATAGATATGCACTTTGCATATTTTCCGCCCTCTAATTATGATAGTCCGGGCAGTTTCGAGATTTAAGCGTCATGTAACTCCTCCCCTCGAAGATTCAACTCCATGGTTGCTTCAGTTTAAGGATGAAGTTGGACGTTGTGAAGTTCTATTACTTCGTTGTTCTTTTTCTTGTAGAGAAGGCAGCGTTTCTGATTGTACATCACTATTAAAGTCTGGAAACAGTATCGGTTTTTTAATAAACTGTGTAGTTTACTATGTTTCCTTGGGTTGTGTGAACTTGACATTTGTTTGGAATTTGTATTAAGTAGGTTCCTGAGAATTTTTTATATTCTTTTTTATCGAGGTACTGGAGTTTCACGACTTCTGGGGTTGGCATAACGAAAATAAACTGTTCGTTGACATCTAATTGTTTCATCACTGGTCGGGATATTTTTGCTTCGACTTGTTGACAGGTAGAAGTTTTCTTTGGAGATTCCAACAGGTTTACAGCACAAGGATTCTTGTTACTTATTTCTTGGAGTTCGGTTGGTGGGCATATGAAGTATTGAGGAGTGACTGATTGGCATTCTTCACTTCGATATGCAAAGTGCAATTTATTTTTCAGCAAATATTTATTGAGAGGTATAATAACCTTGAAATGACTTTGTCCGAATAGGGATGGAATAAAGGTGTAGGTAGTTAAATTCTTGAACTTGTGTTATTGGAAATCTCAGCAAATAAGTTATTTTGTTATTGATTATGTAGCAATCGAGTTTGATTAATTTTTCAAATAATAAAGTCTTCAAACTAACTTCCAACGGGAGTCTTTTTGAGCCAACTAATTTTTGAATTTTCAGTAATTCAATATATAATTGTTCTGTTTTAATTATACTTAGGTGTACAGTATTCGATTTGGAAAATGCTATTGAGTTTTCAATATCTTGTAAGGTTGAGTCAATTATTTCATATACATTTATAAGTTGATTAATGACATCCTTAAATATAGCTGAATTTGCATTGAAACTTATTTTCTGTACCACGTTTGTTATTTGGTTAATTTTTGTTTCCAACAATTTTTGATTGTAACTAATTTGTTGAACAGTATTATTGAAAGTTTTAATAATTTTCTCTGAGATAGAGTTTCCTTTCAAAATAGTTGTCCCTAATTTGTTTTGGTTTCGTTGAAGTTCGGCAATTAATTTCTCATAACGTTCGCCATCAGTAGAGTCTAAACTAAAGCGTTACTGCTTTAAACACTGATCCAATTCCATTAATTAATCCTCGTTTAGTTCTTTGTGGATGTGGAAGTATTTCTTAATTTTTGTTTGTAGAATACTTAGTATACGTAAATAATTAGATACGTCGGGGGATTGTTCTTGATGCAGACTTGTTTCTTTCTTGATTCTTTTGGATTTAGTGATTAATTTCTAAGATTAAAGGATTTAAGTCGTAGTAATGTATAAATGTGTGTGTTTATTCCTGTATTCTGGCTGTTCCTAATTTAAAGGGTATTAGTCCTGCCTTGTCATTTATTGCCTTTAAAGTTATTT